TATCTATCTATCTATCTATCTATCTATCTATCTATCTATCTATCTATCTATCTATCTATCTATCTGGATATAGTATATAAGCTCCATCAGGTGGCAACCCCTAGTCTATCTGGGCTGATCTCAAAGACCTAAGCAGCATCAGACTTTGTTAGCAGTTGGATAGGAGACCACTAAGAGAGCCCAGGGCCGTAGGCAAGAGGATGAAAATGAAAAAACATCCCAGAAGAAAGGAACAGCACGCTGCTTCCATCCTCTGCCGAGAAACACGACATGGACATCTCCATCGAGTTGCAAGGAGTCAAACTGTCTGAAATGACTCAGGCCAGCTCCCCCTTGGCTTCACACACTCCGAGTCCTTCAGTGGCTGAACAACCAAAGACACAGGGACAGAGAGCTGTGGGATCGCAGCAAATGGCCAGCTTCTGGGGCCCAGCCTTAGCTCAAGATGTCCCAGGCCTCACCAGGCGCCTTGACCGTTTCTGTGCCAACACGGGCTGCCATGCTGAGCGAGTCCTTCCCGCCGTCCACTGCCACACCCAGCTCCCCCATGACGGAGCACATGGCGCTGCAGGCTTCTGCCAGGGCCGCCCCCTCGCCTGGGAGCTTGGCTGGCCACATCCAGTTGCCGCTGCACTTCACGTCCTGCATGGGGACAAGCAGATCACTTGGTTGCGCAAAGCCGCTGACCCTGGTGCAGAGATCAGCGCAAGGCTCACTAAGGCAAGGAGAGGAGGATTTGCAAACTGGGGTAAAAGCCTCCAGGGAAGAACATGGCATTCAGAAGAAAGAGAAGGGGAAAGGCTGAGCAAGTGAAAATGTATTCGCACCTCCGGAAAACTGGCATTTTAATAATCAGCAAGGAGATGATCTCTTATGCCTTAATCAGAGCATTCTCTGCTCCACTAAGTAGACAGACCAGAAAGGGTAAAACTCCTTTTACTGAAAGTGGCTATAAGGATTCTTTTCTGAATATTATCTCTCTGTGTTGGACTTAAGATATGTTTCGCCCGTCAGTGCAATGGTAATGAGTCTGCAAATCTCCATCAAGATCACCTCTACATCAGCAAACTGGGAAAACCTAATTCTAATAACTATGCATGAATGAAAAATTATGGCATACTGGTAGGGCTGTGGAGCCTCCCAACTACAATATTGCTGCACAACTGTCAAAATCATGACATTATAACTATTGCAGAAATAAAGCCCGGCCCTTGCTTTTGTTCCAGAAACCTCAATTTTTCTGATAACGGCAGCACCCAGAAACTAATTCTTTCACTCTGCAATCTCCATCTTAAAACCACAACGCACGAATCATTGCTGTAACATCTAGCCAGGTATATTAATCTTAAGGGAGATTTCTGGAGAACAGAAAAGCTTTCTCATTGTGCTGTGACATTCTGGTTGATCTCAATAAAGAAACTGATCAATGATGGACTTTGGAGTTCTTTCAATTTAGGTTGGTTTTTTTCCTTCCCCTTAATGGGCCAGTATGGTTATATTAAGCAATTTGACATTGGTGGAGCCACAGACGTCTGGAACAAGTCACATTGACATCATTGTATGCCCTATAAGATGACGTCATACTACATATGATGTCACTTCCCCCCTTGCCCCCTCCTTGAGTCCCTCACAGGAAAAACGGGGATACAAATGGGGTAGAAATTTACAAATGGGGTAGAAATCAGAAGACTTAAGAAGGGGTGTCTTACCTTCAGATCGGTGACACGAGCAAAGACCAGATTGGTGAGGGCTTCTCCCACAGCCAATCGGGCACCAGCTGCAGGGTTTATAAGCCCTTTGATTGGCTGTTCCCCAAGAGCAGTGGCTCCTCCCACCGTTTCAAAAGGGGAAAGGGCGACTACAGCCACATCTGCCAGGGGTGTGTGCAGGGGACCGACACACTGTTGCTGGGCCACCAGCCCTGTCACCGAACGATCGACCTATGCCAGCGAAACAGGCAATGAAAAGAGAAAGAGAGGAAGAGATGGGATGAAATCAGCAGAAAAACCAATATATAAACCTCTTCTGTATCTATGTGTCAACCTTGGGTGATTTCAAAAAATTAAGCAGGTTTGGAGTTGGTGGACCACAAGGAAATCCCAGGGCTGTAGGCTAGACTGGGAAGTTGGAAAAGCATCTCAAAAGAAGGCGACGCTCTTAAACATTGCCGCCGAGAAAGCTACGCAGATAGGTCTGCCTAGTCACTCCAACCCAAGAAAGCCCAACGTGGTCCAGAAAGTTACCTTATTTGTCAGGTAACGCTTACTAGCCACAGCTGGGAGCTTCAGGACGAGTTGAAGGGCGTCCACCACGCTCAGGGCGCTAGGAAGATCCAGAGGACGAAGGGCTCGGTTCATGCGGTTCAAAACAAATTCCTGGGTGGTGGGAATAAAAACAAGGAATCCATGATGTTATTAACAAGGTTGGAAGGTTCCCTTTGCTCCAACCAGCAGGGCTGATGGTGAGGGAGGCTGGGAGTTGTAGTTCAGCAATACTTGGAGAGCCACAGACTGGTCACTGTTCCTGAATTAAAAGAAGGAGGAGCAGATGATGTGAGTTAGCACTAAGATGTCCCCACTCAGCATAAGGGAGCCAGTATTGACTGGAGGGCACCACAGCTATTGCAAAATTCAGTGGAGCACTGTAGAAGCTGGAGCTGATGAAGAACACTTGGGAAATGTGTATTTTAGGAGCTATCCCTTTCTTATATTCCATCAAGAGAGAACACCTTTTGTTCATAAGAATCACTACCCTGCCACCTGAATACTGCCAGACTTAGAAGGAATAAGCTACTGAGTCATCAAATCCTTTGCCTTCAGCAGGCCAGCCTACCTTTTAAGCCAGAGGTTCTCAAACTCTGTGGTCCCGTGGCCCGTTATCACAACAAATGAACTCCTGTTGACACCCCTCTCCCACTTGTCCACGGAGAATGAGAGTGCCTTTGGAGAGAGGTCCAGGTGCACAAGCTTGCACAGGCATAACTGGATCACGGTCAGACCACAGTGCCTGGACAAACTGATAGCTGGCTTGCCCAGGCAGAATGGGAACACAATCTGGTATTTATCCTGATTTACACATGAAGCCTCCCCCAACTTCCCCCAAATTTATGAAACTCCTGAAATTTGCTCATCCCCCTCAAGGAAGATTGAGTATCTCTGCCTTATGCATCCCCAGTGAATTTTAGACAGATCTTTTCTTTTATGCTGGGAGACTCCTTCATACACTTCCATACCTTGCGTGGCATCTTGCCAAGAACCCATTCCAGTTTCAGATTCACAGGAGTGTCCCTTTCTCCCGTCTCCCCCTTGTCCACCTCTGCCTGACTTGCTGGAGACTTCGTGTCATCCACCAGCACAATCTGTCAAGAAGAGGAAGAGCCAACTTCAGAGCAGGTTCACACCCTAGGCCAAGCTCTACTTGCTTAACTAAGATTTATTCCACAATCCATCATTGATTGGATACTCTTAAGACCCTGAAACATAATGCATGGTTTACAAGCCACCCTAGCTGGGATCCAACAATACGCTAACCCCAGAACAACGTAATGGGTCTGCACAATGGTGAACCCAACTCTGCAAAGGACTTTCTTCCAAATTATTTCACCGGGCACCTCCCATTTCATACCTTCTGCCCTTTATTTCCCCAGAGTTTGGTTTTTAGCTCCCGATCTGATCATTCTACATCTTCAGAACTACAGTTCCCATCACCTGTCATGATAACCTTTGAAGTTACTCACATGGGTATTAGGCTGGGAAAGACCCTAACAGATAGCCCAGCCCAAATGTTGACAGTTGCCACGCTATCTTCTGGTCTATTTGCCCATTTCTTGCCAAAGGGTTTTCCTCACCCACCCATTTGTGCCCAATCCAAGGGATTAACGTTTCTCTCCCACCAATGCCAATTTCTGCCCTACCTTTCCATCGCCTGTAATCCTGCCTACGAAGTCCACAGGGCATCTTTCACGGCAAGCCAGCCGTTGTAGAAAATCAGCATGGCGCGGGTGAAGCAGGAGAGCGTTTGATTCTTGGTACTCAGCCCCCCAGATTTCCAGAACACTCAACGTGGGATCTCCCAGCTAGGAAATGAATGAGAGAGACAGAGAAAGAGAGAGAGAAACCAGGCTAAACTCTGCTAAATCTACAGAGAAAGGAGGTGCATTAACAGCACCTAGCACTCTGTCGGTTACATACTGACAGTGGGTTGGAGAAGAAATCCCCCAACCAACAAACCTCCTATTTCAGCTTAACCTGGGATTTCATTGTTTGCATCCATTTTGTTTTGGAAGAAACAATCATTCCCTGTTTTGGGTTGAGGTTAGAAGAGATACTGGGGATCAGAGTATACCAATCACTGCAAGGTTTAACCATCAACACACCTGGAAACGGCTTGAATATATAGTGGCTCCAGCAGGCTCGCTCAACTCCTTCAACACATTCCCTAAATGAAAAGGGAAGGTCCTTTAGATACTCCAAATTTAGATACACATTTCAAAATCCTTGGAGGAAAGCTATTATAATTCTCCCAGACATCTCTTCTAGAGACCAGGAATTCATGATGAAGGATGTGCAAAGCTTATGGTTCCAGGGGTGGAACATTCCATGTAAAACTGAAACATTCCAGACTGCATTGATCTCACCATCACAAGGGTGACCCGGATGTTTTGCAGAAGTAAATCTTCTTATCAGATTGCCTCAAAATGGCCAGATCAGTGTTTCTCAGAATAATAGGTTTTGCACATCCCTGTCAATGACATTTCAAATTACTGTGGAATGGAATTATGAAGGCCAGGCTCAGGGAGATAAACATTTTCTTAGCTCCCCAGAAG